CCCGCCTCCACCACCGCCAGCACCGCCCCCGCTCTCCGTCACCTCCGCACACGAGCTCGCGTTGCGACGTGACTCTGTTGACACATTTAAATAAGTTGACGGTAGTAACCAGTATTAATACAGGATGGGACGAACAGGATTTACAAAACAGGGTTATGAAGGAAGCTCCTCCTGTTGATTTAGTGTACGATATCTACACTAGGGAACTGTTTAAATCGAGTGTGTAAATGTGGCAGTTATTTAAAAAAGGTAATTGTAAGAGTATAAGCAAAAAAGATAATGTGTACTGACTGTTCCTGGCGTGTTTGCCGTCATGTCGCGGGCGGCGGCGGCGCGTGTGTATAGTGTCGCGGCGCATGGCGGTGGGGCGCGGCACGCCGTGTAGCTTGTAGTAAAGTCCGCATGCGTTGCACACCATCTCGCCGCGCGCGTCACGTCGCCAGATGGTAGTGGTGTGTGTGCCGCAGTTGCTGCACGACAACTCTACGCGCGCAACGTTGCGCGCACCCCCCGTGCCCCCCACGCCTGCTGCACCCCCCGTACCCGTCGTGCCAGTGCACGCTTCCACTGGTTCTTGCTATAAATATTGAAAAAATCATATGATATAAACATTTACTAAAGCTTACTACTACTACTATAGTAACGCCTATATAATAACATATTAAGATCTTACGTTCTCTGAGGCTGGGTGAGGCCAGGCTTGAGGCGGGGGGTCGCAAGCAGGCTGCGCCCGAGCCGGGAAGCTCTGCTTCCTGCGCGCTGTGCCCCCCGACATAGCCCCACTACCCGTGCGCCCTGAACTCGTCCACTCGCCATTCTGTTAGGTTAAACTTTTTCTTTTAGACTTTTACGGGAAGGTAGCTGTTGGGCGCGGGCACATTATACGCTACTTTTTATAATTTTACGCTGACGAAATTTCGAGCCATCGCCAGTGTTAAATAATTGTAAACGAAAAAAATTAAGGTCACAGTATAAAAATGATTCATTAGTGATATAAAAAGAACGAACATTTTCACATCACAGTGTTATTGACTCGGACAAAAAAAAAGTTCCTCTCAATGACAACGGTCGACGACATCGAACATAATTACAACGATCAACTGTTGATATATTCAAATTATGCTAATTTTTCCATTTTTCAAACTTATCAAATTATATACATGTTAGTCATATATACAAATGATATCATCAAATATCTAATTATTTTTATATTATTCCTGTTACCATTACATATTATGAAAGATATCTTTAGCATTTTAGCTAATAACACAGCAGATATATTTGTTTGAACTTATTTAACGATAATTTTACCCTATCATTTTAACAGTGGTAGAGCCCGCTTTAACATCTTCGCACGAATCGGCCCGACTCGCCCGGTGAAATACCACGACCACACAGAAGACAGGCGTGAAGTGGAAGCAATTCCGCGTTTCGTCTGATAAGTGTGCGTCCCGGAGGCCTAATTTAGTCCTCTTTCCCTTCCCATCCTTTTCTTTATAAGGAAAGGATGGGAAGTGAAACTGGACTTTCCGGATGAGAGGATACAAGGAAAGGGAAGATATCTTCTTTCTGTGCATCCTCTCCTCCGATTAAAGGTAGGCAACACATATGCGATTGCGTATGTCTATGGGCAGCGGTCACTTCGCTATTCCAACGATTTCGGGTGGCCGCTAGCTCGTTTGCCACCTTATAGTATAAAAAAATCATTGCTCATTTCTAATACTATGATATAGTAAAACGTCTCGAGCCAAAGTTTAGCCTACCTATAAGTATCATGTTATAACATTACTAGGATCATTGTTCGTAGGTCAGTCTTCAAACTTTTATATAAATTAGTAAGAAATAAAAAGGCAATAAAATTCCCAAGAGAACATTTACAGCTTTATATCACTAGATACTGAAACTTGCTTATTCCTTGTTACTTCATTTATGTATACCTTATCCTTATTTCCGATTCGTATAAAATAATAACTACACGACAATCTTACTAATATAAATGAAAAAGTTTAGATGGATGGATGTTTGTTGGACTTCTAGAACGACTGAAGGAAAGCCGCGGAATTTTAGTATAGATACAGAGAATACTCTGGAAGAACACTCAGGCTACTAGTGAGATATAATGAAAATTTGTATGCTAATTTCCCAGTAGGATATAAAATAACAAAACAAGGTCTCGACTGAGGTCATACTGTACACGTATTGAGGAAGATTTAACGATCATAAAACTAAAGGATTAAGTACATATAAGATGTATGAACCTGTACTTCGGAAAATTACAGATTAAAAACTAAATCAGTTGCTCAAGAATTTACAAGTTATGTTTCTATGCATGTGTTATACGAGTACAATAACCGATAAAGAGTCCGTGACCTAAAACCAATATACATCATGCATACAAATGAAGCTGTTCATAATTACACAAGTAAAAACGTAAACTCACGTGCTTCTTATTTAATAAGACAATACAACACACTATTAGCAAATAGACTAAATTTATTATCACCTAACTTACGTCTTCTCTAACTAAAACCTAACAATTATTTATCAATTTTATGAAAATAGGAAGCCAATTTTAAACCTTTTTGTGAGTTAAAACAGTTTGATAGATAATTTAGTAACAACCTTAAGGAAAACTCTATTTACCTTCAATACGACAATAACACGTCGTTCTGTATGCACTAAACAATTTAATTTATTTCCAACAGGCGCCAGTATTATCTCGCGCCCGGACAATACAACACCGATTGTCGGTTATACTATTATTTACTTATATTTATTGTGGTATCAAAGTGCTTTATGAATTATTTATTATTATTTAATGGTGACTATTATTAAGCGATAAAGTGGTAATAAAATCTAATCCTGATTTATTCGTTTAAAAATTATTATAACAAAAAATCTTTTTGTACAGACAAGTTATTAAAAGGTATATACTTTGAGATGTAATACATATTTACCCATACTTTAGAAGATAAATAAATAGAAGATTTTTTCTTTATAAAGACTAGCTGTCGCCCCCAAAACAACATAATTAGTAGCTTATGTATTCTTTCCAGACTATGTTATATATGTATGCCAGATTTCATCGAGATCTATTCAGCCGTTCCAGAGATACCTTCAAACAAACATCCATCCATCCAGGATTCCGATCCGATCGTCCATCGTCGTCGATCCGTGATCGGAAATCCTTAACATTGACCAGTAGGTTAACGACGCTTAGTTAGGGTTAAAGATTGTTATTTTATTTTTTTCACTGTTAAAAACGCAAGTTCATCATGAAACATCCTTATTTTTAAATGTCCTTAAAAATGTTTTATTCGCTATTTGCATTATCAAGTTTCCGACGTTTTATTAACAAGATTTCCTATAGATTTTCTAATCTTATAGATATTTTATCTTTACCGGTGCCAGATAAAATAAATTTTCATTAAAAATTACACTTCAATCAGTTATTGTATTATAATTTGACTTTAGAACACTATTGTTATTTCAGGTTTTTCAAAAGGAATAAGAGGGATGGTTATATTTTTGTAACTTAGGTGTAGTAGAGACTTATATAAACCGTTTAAGTATTAAACTTGCATTTATTAATCTCCGACACTATTTTAACTTGATTCGGTGCATAATTTTAATTGTCGAAAAAAGAATAATCAAGGGCTTAGCACGAAAATGTGCGAGAAAGGATTCCTAACGTTATCGAGAAAATTAAATTTGTACAGCACCCTCATCGGATGTAAAGTGTAGCGCCAATTTTCATACAAATGTTATGGATTACGTTACGAATACTTTCTAGGAAAATTTTCATGCTAGGCCCTAATCACGGTTCGTTTCACGATTTTTTTTTCTTTTAATTTTCCTTGTTTTCTAAAATGCTTTGTTAAAATATATGCACGGTGTAACTTTTACAACGGTTATAAATGTAGACTTTGTTATCTACGAATATATGAGTTTTTAATACTAAGCCAAATTTGTTATTACATTTTTATTACCATCTCATAAACACTAAGTCAAGTTAATCTTTATTATGGATACCAAACAAATTCTTAAAAATAAATAGTCCCGGAAGAATCATAAAATAAATACTTAATAAAATCAATTTCATAGAAATATTAAAAAAAAATCCTCAGGCCTCACTGATCACGTTAATAAAGTCAGATGATATTTCGGGATAGCCAAGTACATAAAGGTTCCGCCCATCCTCCCCCACCATCCCCTTAGTAACTGCGATACATTCTTTAGTGGCTTGTCGTTTGCTCAAAGCAATCGACATGTTCCTTTGGTATATTTTTACAAATGTTTGTTACATTATATAGGAAGTTGGGAACAGTGTTTTATCACAATATTTTATTCACGAGACTAGCTGTCGCCCGCTAACTCCGTCTGCGCGTAATTAAAAAAAAAATAGTTCCCGGAAGTTATTCGTTTTTTTGCTCACCTTTTAAACCTTCCCTAGACCTCCACGAACATTTCAAGACCAAGATAAGATAAATCCGTTCAGCCGTTCTCTAGTTTTAGCGAGACATAAGAACAGCTATTGGTTTTTATATATATACTAGCGGACCCGACAGACGTTGTCTGACAATTTGACACTGCGATGGTAGCGCCGTCTGTCGGATCCAATGTAAAACATTCCAAAATCAACAACTACTAATAAATTAAAAATTAATTAAAAAAACATTGTCCAGCGGACAAAATTGTGAATCTAAACCATTCCCAGATCCCCTTGAACACACACAAAAAATTTCATCAAAATCGGTCCAGTCGTTTGAGAGAAGTTCAGTGACATACACACTCACAGAAGAATTATATATATAAAGATAAAGATATATAGGTAGATTAAGGGTTAATTGTCGTTTATCTATAGTAAAGGATTTAGAATTGAATATGGTATAAAGATACTGTAAATACTCGCATAGCAACTATACAAAAGATATCCCTATCTCTGTCTTTTTCAAAGAGAGTGTAAGAGATGATAGTATGTTTTTATTAATGTTTTGATAGTGGGAACGTACAGTATCACTGACCGGTGAGACAGTCCCGTTGTGCTGCAGCAGGTTGGTTGGCAGTGGTGAGGTGGATGTCCGCAGCGGGGACACCGTCATGCCGAGATGTTTGCTATTGATGAGCCGGCGCAGCAGCTGTGTCGCTTCTCCGCCACGTCCTGTAAGTTTACTTTTTTATTTATTTTTAACAACAAATGGCAATCGAGTGAAAGAATACAAGAAGTATTGTTTCACTGTTATACGAATGGGGAGAAATACTACCTTTTGCTTGCTATAGAAATCATCATGATCAAGAGTAGAAAAATTAGCAAAAAACACTCTGTGAAGTGTAGCCATAGCAACGAATTCCGTCAAATTTCACTTTTAATATAGTACATAAATTATTTAAAACAAAAATGGTAGAAGGAATATTTATTAAATCGCTAATTTGACAGGTGACATCCCTATCTACGCTAGCGCCACCTACTTAGAGCTTTCAGTTTTTCTTCCCATTTAGTTGTCGAAGTTGCCAAGCGCGTAAGCAATGATTTATGTATGTCTACGAAAATTATGATAAATTTCTGTTATAAAAATTATATAACATGCAGATTATAGCTTACGTTAGTATATGAAACGGTATAAATAAATCAATGATCGAGAAATACCTAAATTCACTACGATCATCCCACAGAAATAACGATCTAGAAACGTGACAGAAATAAGAAAAGTCGTCCTAATGGCTATGTTATGTTACTCTTCGTATTATTATCCCACCACCATATTGCATTCCTCTGGGTGTTAATGAACACATGCCCAGATCTGTTACGATATTACTACCGTTCTGTCTATGTAGGGCCTGCCACAAGGACTCTTTGACGTTTTCACCTTCGTGCGGGGGCTTCGGCGACGACTGCGTCGACGGCACCGACTGTGTCTCCTCCGGATCGTCCTACAAATATAACGATAACAAACTTATATTGGGCTAAAACAAATGTCAAAAAAAATATGCGTCACATGGAACATGGATGTATAATGAAAAGAGTTTTGCCTTATAAATACTTGCCAAGTTAGAACAAGATTTAAAAAAAAAACAAAACAGCCAACTGAAAACAAAACATAGTCCAGCAGGATGAAAATATTGCGGGTTTTAATTTGGGAAGATCCTCACGATCTATATCCGCCATTATCAATACTATTGAAGTTAATATAATATTTTTAAAAATGTTTATTTAGAATTTTATAGTTTACGCTACTTTGATAAAGGTACTGCCACATTGTGTGGGAAAACAAACTAACCTGTGACATCTCAGATATATCCATTTGTAACCTGTCAGGATCAGAACCGCTACTGCTTTGACTGCATTCCTCGTATATGTCTTTCGTCTGCTTCGCTTTGCTGCCAGTTCGCCCGAATAGGTGTTGCTTGTACTCATCGGCAAAGTTGACGTTTTTACTATTCGACACCGTCCTGTGTACGTATAATTTAAGAGATTCTGCATCTGTTCGCTCTGTGGGGTCGACGGGTTCAGTTTTAAGAGAGCTATATAAAGATAGATCCATTTCCTTATTGTCATGGTCGTCGTTGCTACCGGGGCTGGCGGCGGGCTGCGAGGCGCCGTATGTGTATTGTTCCTCAGCGTACTCCTGGCTGTAGCCCCCCTCTGTGGCGCTTGCCGGGTGCGTTTTATCGATTACACTCGCATAGTTCGGAGGGAAGGTCTGAGATTCATCACTATCCCGCTGCGCAACCGCCACAGCCTTGCTTATTATATCTATAACTGCATTACAGTGCATCACCTCTCTCGCTCTGTCGGAGGGCGGTAAACTGGGAACATTGTTGAACATTATGTGCGGACTCTCCTCCGACTTCACATATTTCATGGGATCATAGTTCTTAATCTGAAGGAGAGTGACCGCCGCCTGCCTGCTCTCTAGATTCTTCATCTCCTCCGTAGAGTCCGGTGACCCGACTTCCGCGTATTTGTTTCTAATAGCTTGATCGTAATCATCATTCTCGGAGTAAGGTTTGATAATCTCTTCGAGCTTATCGGACGCTATACTGAGCACCTCCTAAAAATAAAAATGAACAGTTTAAACAAACTTCGATCCATATTAGTAGCACGATAACACAAATAAACATTAACCAATGACGCGTTCGTTCATTCTATGTCATGCCGCGATATCACTCGCCTCTTAACAGATAAGATAGTGTGCATTTGTATTGGAAGGTGTCGGAGCAGTATCCTTTATAATTTTAATGAGAATGTGGCATCAGAGAGAGTTGAAACTAGTGAGTTGCGCAGAAATTATGTGTCGGTCGGAAGTTTGTGTGTGGCGACGAGTACAGTCAATTAGCACTGATGGTGTTTGTTTGTTGTAGGTGTTAGTGTTGTTGTGTGTGGTTGTGGCGGGCGGTGCGGCTGCGGCCGGGGGAGAGGGCGAGGGCGGGGGTTGCGACGTGTCCCTGCAGGACATCAACAACCTGACACTCAACTGCTCCCGCCGCGGTCTGCACAGTGTGCCAAGTACATGGCCACAGGAAATCGACAACACCGTGGACAAAGGTACGGATTCAATAATAATTTCTTTTTATTTTACATAATATTGGGAAAAGATGTTTGATTTTTTCGGATGAATCAAAAACTAATAACTACTTTATTTACTAAAAATACTTTTACTTGTCTCTCTCCTAAAGAGAAGCAACTTATCAAACAATTAAACTGTCATATTAACAAGAAGTCATTATCAGGTTTGTGTGATTTTTACATAAACTAGGTATATACTTTCATGCTTACTTACACAAAATATAGACGGGATATTTTGTGTAAGTATTTTGTCTTGTATGTAATGTTCGTGGACAAATACATGTTATTCGATTAATTCAATAAATAATTAAAGTGTTTGTTCGTTTGTACAAACACGATCGTTTACTCTGATATTACATTACAATAAGCTACTTGCGCGTTATCATTGTTCGAAGAAAACCTAAAACTACAGACAACAAAACAAACCACATATTTCAAAACGCAATTTACTCTTTTCATGATATTGCGTAACGATTTTATCGTAATAAATACAAAAACATCAAGTATAAGTGAAGATCTATGAATGGATGATGAATGAAGCGAAATGCTTTGATCACGCGTCATGGAAACGCGTAATCCCTGCCTACACTTCTGGGTTACGGGCGTGAGTTGTTTAAAAATTCCCTATAATGTAGACTACTTAAATACTCCCGGCGTGGCCCGGGAATATAATGAGACAAAATAATAAAGCCTGATTAAGATAAACTCGGCTTCTGGTGGAAAACAATCGTAAAAAATGTTCAATGATTACAGAGTTGAATCATTACAAACATTACTTTCTTTATAATGTTAGTGTAATGACAAATCACAACTTGGCATTCTTCAATTTTAACTGCGAAATTAAAACGTACTTGCCTACTTTTGTTTAAATTGGTTTCGCGGACATGATGTATTTTGCGTTGCTCATTACGAAAATCCGATATTTTTTTATTTGTATGGCGTGTCGGGAAGAAAAATTCTCATTGGGCCGATTGACAGGTATGCCGATGTGTGTAGGTAGACTATGTGCTGACGAATATAGGTACCTGACTATCTATCACAACTAGGTTATCCGCAAACATAACAGATAAGATCTAGGCACCATTTCCGACGAATAGAGGTGTAAAATGCATACAGCGGACCTAATACGAAAATTTGCGACAGAGAATGACACAGATAAAATTAATTGCTGTAAAGAATATTTGAGCCTATTGAATCGATATTGAATTTATTGTAACCGTAAGTTTCCTCTGTCAAAACAGTACAAAAACATTTTGACATCCCTCTCACTTCACTTTCCTTGCAAAAACAGAATTAACAATATATTTTTGTAGAAATTTCGGTAGCGTAGGCCTGTGAAAAGATAAATGAATTGTGAGAAACGTGACGTGAAGGGAGAGACAAGCGAAATGACGTATGATCGGTGGACGAGAACTGTGGGCCAATCACGAATATTTGTGACAAGCGGTGACGAATATCGTCATCGCCAAAATTTGTATGAAGATGACGATACGAAAGCGCTTGTCGCAAATATTCGTGGATAAGGATAGGGAGTTTATGAAAATGCTTGGCAGCGGAAAACCACAGATACTGTGAATTTTGTCTACCATAACACAAATAGTGTTATCTCTATTTGTTCAAAAAGAATGAAAGGGATGACGAGCGCCATTGCAAAACCCGTAAGAGCAACATGTTTCAACTTTAATGTATGTAATATTTTTAGATGGTCACGTATTGGTGACATTCTTTAACAACAGCATCACGAACGTAACAGAGCTACCGTCGGTGCCTGGGAACAGGATAGCGATTATATTTAAATCTAACGCCATCGTAGAGATAGTGGACAGCGCTTTCTCTAACATACAACGATTGGTTTACTTGGATTTGAGCAATAATCATATATCAGGTAAGTCTTCTTCAATGTAAGCATCGTTTTGCACTTATAAAAGCAATATTTCATACATTTATGTGTTGTCATAAGACAAAAAAACTATAACAATAACATACAATTGCAGAAATGATCTTAATCTAGATCATTCTTTAATCTCCAATCAAAAGAGTCACCGCATAAATTTTAATAATAGTCATCCGACCCAGTTGCCCGCTTTCTCTTAAACGACGTTTATAGGTCGCGCAGAATCGCTAATAAGGTGAATACGTAAAACCTATGACGTCATTACACCACGTAAGCACTAACTACCTGAATCTCTAAATGGCCAGTAACGTCGTCCCTTAGTATGCGATATCTACAAAAATCGTAGGTTTCTGAGAGCACAAAACGTTCGAAACATAATACAGGAATGATTTTATACAGATTTTGGTCTCAGAAACTCACGGTGAGGGAACTAAAGTAGTATCTAAGTTCTTAATAAATATTGTGTTAAGTATTTTAATAAAAGTACACTAAATAGAGAAAAACTGATGGACCATATTGTATACAGGTGACGTACTGAGGAGTGAAATCTTCCAAGGACCTTACAATAACACCGTGTACAACAATATAGCACTGGAGACATTGAACCTGGGTCGAAACCAGATACACTCACTGGACAGATATCTGTTCCAGTATACGCCAAATCTAACGCGCCTCTATCTTAATAACAACCCGATAGAAATACTCGACCATGTCACTGTATTAGCTCTATCCAGTGCTACCAACTTGCAGGTAAGTTTAAACTTAATTATAACTTATATTAACTTCACGAAAGATTAATTACTAACCTATTATTATATTATTTTTATCCGTACCTGTTAAAGCAGAATTTAAAGTATAAATTATTTTAACAACTTGAGTGGCAGAAATGATTAAAGTTAATGAACAAAAATTAAAAAAAAAAAAAAAACAAGAATATCTTCTATTAAATTAAAATGTTGAAAAGTATTTATTAAAATGCCTTATCATATTCGCATCACTATTCGAGCTTTCACTTACAATGACGTTTTATTTTGCAAAATATATTAGCATTAAATTTTTACATAAACGATTCTCTTGAGTTGTATATGAAACTATATAGTTTCTAATACTTGATAAAATTTAAATAGACATAAAATAATATTTGAAAATCTCAAGTAATAGCGAATTTTAATACTTTGAATAAGTAATTTGAAAATTAATTAAATAGAAATTGAAAGGAAATCAAATATTTCTGATATAATTTGCATGCAAACGTTTATCTTTTAGAAAGCATTATTTTCTCCTTATCAATACAAATCCCCTTGTTACGTAATGAAGTAATAAACAATATTTTCTTGTATTATTTTATTCAGATACGATACATACAACGTTTAAAATATTTTTTTAAATCTTACTAATATTATAAACGCGAATATTTGGACGTATTAATGTTTGTAAGAAGGTATCTTCATTAGTGTATGGATCTCGTAGAAATTTGGTATAAATATAGAAGGCAGTCTGGAACACATAGGCTACTAATTACGTTTTTTAGTACCGCGCGGACGGAGTTGCGGGAGACAGCTTGTATAAATATTTTAAATATCATATTATAAGTGGTCTTTAGTTAGATTGTACATGTGTATAAATAGGCGTATGTCACGATATCGCAGTTAATTCAATTATAAAAACCATTACAATTATTGATTGAAAATCGATTAAGTTAAAAAAAAAACCGGTTGCGTCATCGAAGCGCTTCCCACGTGAATGAGAATAATTTACATAACTTTATCAATATTCACATAACTCTTAATTTTATAAAAAAAAGTTAATTTACTATAAAAACAAATCCTTAAAGGAAAACTTTCCCTCGTTATTGCGACAAACCCTTGAGTTTTCACCTGCAAGTCTATACAACTAACTCAAATGAAGATTAACAACATGGCTTACAACAATATCACCATTTAAAAAAAAAAGAAAAATAAATTAATAAATGGTTTTACTATGAAAGTGAATATCAATTCCAAATTCAAAAACAGATAAGAACGTGTATAATTAATTGTATTCAAAAATATGCACCTTTACGATTTGCACAGATCGCGCCGGAATCAATAAACATTTTATCGTTAAAAACAAAAAAAAAACTTACGTTATCAGAGAAGAAGGATTGAGTTATGTACCAGTCCGAACAAGATTATAAATTGTATCAAAATGACGCGCATATCGACGCCGGGAATTTCCCCTTGAGCTTGTCTAAAGATACAACGAAGGCTTTACATTTGAACAATGGAAACATGAAATGAGCGCTAAAATGTCACTAAAAATTTCTAAAATTGAAACTTATAATAATATAAATACTACAAAAAGTATATTACTTTATATTTATATGACATATTAAGGTATTATTTATTATGTACGAGCGTACGATCTCTTTCCCTTCACTATACAATAGGCCTCGATATTCCAAATGACTAATTTTACGTGGGTTACATTATCATCATATTACGTAGTTGTTTACGTTGATATTCTTGTATTTTCATATATGTATGATTACAGAGTATATTGTATACGATAAAAACAATATTAATATCAAGTTTACCTTTGTTAATGAATTTGTAATAAGTTTAAATACAACGTTATTAATATAGATTATTAACACCACGCTTTTAAATAGAATTAAATACTATAGTTATTCATATTGGCGTTAATATTTAAGAAAATAGGCAACTAACAAATCGTATTATAAAAATGACTTGGGCACAATATTATTAGACTTAAGCCGACAGCAAAAAGGCATCATATTTTGTACATGGCATAAATAAGTTAAAGCACTGCATATTTAAGAAGAAAAAAAACAGTAAAATAACGTCGCTCATTGGACATGGGGGTGAGGAGGTAAAAACTAGTGGGGGTAATTAAAACGTATATTTAAAAGTATATTTTCACAACTTTCAATTCCAGGTCTTAGATTTATCGAACACGGATATCGATTCTATACCACTGGATGCGTTTAGAGGTCTAGTGAACTTACAACAATTAGACTTATCCAGCAACAAGTTTGTCAATGTTCCCGAGAGTCTGAGTATAGTTGGCAGTACTCTTCAATACCTCACATTCAACAACAATCCGATTGTTGAACTCAATGATGACAGCTTTGTTGGTAAGTTGCATACACTGCTGTACTCAGAGTCACCTTTAGAGAAGATTTAGCACGCGAAATCTATACTTAAGGTGCGATACGACTTTGTGTGCGGCAGTATTAATATATATTTTTATTTAATGTTTATGACCTTTGCCATTAATAACAAGACTAAGCCTTAGCGTTATAATTAAACACTTCTAAGTATAGTAAGGTCAACAATGTATTGCAAACGTAATGGAAAACTAAATATCAAACACTACTATACCAAGTTTTTTTTTCCGTTTTATTATCTACTATTATAATCTTAAAAGTTAAAACAGTAAATATACAGGTGACTTAAACCAAACATTACAATTAATGTTTTACTCGTTAGTTCGTAGTTATTCGTTACGCATAAAATTTCTTGTATTATCTATGAAAGGAAGAGGGGTCGATAAAAATGATGTATTAGTTCGCCGAATTACATGATTAAGTCATTAATAAATACGCAATGACAGAAGTATTGATATCGCCGGAACACGATACATGCGTCAACATTTCTTTTTATAAGAATTCAACTAAAGAAATAAAAATATATAGACAGGACACACCTGCTTTTAGTACAAAAAAGAATTCAATTAAAGAGAAAGCGCATAATGCATTAATAAGATATAGACTGGACAATTACGCTTAACAAAGATATCTATACATATCTGAAATTAATGCGTAGTTAACTCGTAACCGTTGGCATTTTTTGCCAACTTACTCTTGCCTTAATGTGGACAAATAAAAAATATTATTACTCATTTCGATATTTTTAACATATAGTTCGACTATAACACGGAAGTGACTGTGTAATTGAGTTTACGCGTGTACGATACCGCGTCGATTCAGATAAAATCGGATATAATCGTTACATCATACCAATCCTCTATCATTTTCCAAATTTAAATATAATACCAACATTTTGGAAACAAATGTAAATTCAGTCATATGCAATTAAAAACTCGTAACCGAAGTATACACGACTGCTGGTTTCTTATATCAAAATCTTTGTATAAAACATATCGTCATCCCTGTCATTATGTTTGACAAAACAGAGATAACAATATGTTTTAAACGGAATTATTTTCAAAGTAATCGATGGTTATTGCACATAATAAAAAAAATATGCTTGTTTCTAATAGGTCTTAGCAATCTATTGGAACTAGAAGTCGGCGAAAATAGTTATCTGGAGGAAGTAAAAAGAGGTACATTTACGCCTCTTAAGAAATTGCGTATCTTGCATCTCTGTCATAATACTAATCTGAGATACATCAGCCACAACGCATTCAGAGCTTTGAAGGATAAATGGACTTTAAAAGAGGTAAAAATTAAAGCAACATTTATATTGTGATATTAAATTTATATTCCTAATGCAAAAAAACAATAGATAAAGACACAATTGGTAAAAAAAAAATATCTCTGTCCACTCTATTTGGTTTAAAGGATGTGAAAAAATATTGTGGAAGCAATAGCTCTATGTATCCAGTTATTAATAAAACTATTTCTAGAACTAGACAAAAAAGTAAAGCTAGTGGTTATGTAAGAACATTATGAATCAACGCACAAGATCTGTACAGACAAGACAATATCTATAAAATATATTAAAGTAGCAAGCAGTAATAAATAATAGTTGATTTAATAATCATTACTGTTACTTAGATGTTAACACAGATTTTCAATTTTATCTTATAATCACATAATGTAATCATAAAGTATGTCTAATTTGATTTGCCCCACTTTGGAATGCTTACATGACAGCTACAAAACTGGGTCATCTGTGTAATCATTTTATTCTTATTTTTGTATCACTATATATTGCAAAATTTACGAAAGTAAGTAGGACAATTAATAAGTCTTATGTTACTATTAATCATATATATATTCTTATAGGTATATATGGATGATAACAATTTAAGTGAATTATCAGCGGATTTAATGCCATGGAGTAAGTTGGAGATTATAGGAATGACAGGGAACAGTTGGCTTTGCAATTGTGACCTTGCAGAGATTATAACTAAGCAGGAGGCGGGGACTAAATTTAAAGATGGAGATATCCCATTGTAAGTAAAGTAATAAATTGACAACAAACTTGAAAGCAATTAAATAATAATTTGCGTTATAAAATTACAATTATAGATACAAGATACAATTTTTAATAATTTAGAAAGAAGTTGAACTAAATTACTTAGGATTTCAATTTATCATGTTTCAAAGATGTCTATGTTATTTTTAGTTGCGCTGCACCAATGAAATATGCTGGATCTTATGTGACAAACATATCTATGACATTTTGTCCAACATTTGACACAACATTTGCAAAAAAACATGGATTCTCCTTATCAAACTTAAGACCAAAACATATACTGTGGAGTATATTTGGTGTAGCGGTAGTTGTTTGCATTGGAATGTTGGTTGGATTGCTTGTGAATACAATCAAGGCTTTCTATAATAAAAAGCTGCGGAGCCAACCTATTCGTTACATTAATCTACACTCTGATACAAGCTATGCTTGAAAATAAATATGTTTCATAATAGTTTGTGTAAATTTCATATCTTACTCCAATATAGTATTGATTAGATAAATATTAAAATATTAATACATATCATTGATTAGTTGTAAGAATAAAATTGCAATTAATCATTGTTTTATTTAAACTCACCTCTTTTGAACCAGCTAGTGAACTTGTATACTGAAGAAACTGTTCTAGGAGCCTTTCTGATTTGTGAGTTAACTCTCTAAATGTATGAAAGTCATCAAGTTTGTGTGCACAGCTCCCACATACCACCTGTGGCAGCATATCTTCTGGTGATACCTAAAATTATTTTCATGTCATCATTTCAAATATATTAATTTCGAAATTTCACAGTCATTCCTACAGATGATGTGGCCAGTGACCTTTTGCATGTATAATCATAGATGGTGAGTCATTGCTAGTCAATCTGATAATACACAGTATAGCAATATCCTGCTACCTTTGCTTAATTTAGATGGAAGACAAGTTGAAGATAACACTGTATGACTGCAGTCCCCCACATTATTTGTGTCTAAATATAGAGAATATTGCTTCCGAAAATAGCAATATGTATGTGGTTGAAAAGAGAATATGTAGAGTGCTGCATTAGGTTGGAGGACGTTGGAGAGGTGACGGGCGGGGGCCGGGGCGGGCGGCGGCAGCTCAGCAGAACGCGATCATCTCCGCGCGCTCCTTTGTTATCAGCGGCGACTGATACAGCGTCCGCCACCCGCCTCGCCTATCACTTCCAAGAACGACATTAGTCATACATTCGAGCACTCGACGCGTGGGCCGTAATATGATATCACAATGCGAAAATATCCAACACCCGCGAGAAAGTTAATGGCGCTTATCAGTATCCACAATCTCTTACGCTTAGACTAAACTTTCACACGAGAAAACGGCATCTTCTTAGCGGTAAAAGATAAAATATTACTCAATAAATTACCATTATTGATAAATATGTCGTTATCATCTCAGATAGATGTGATTTATCCTTATCACGATCGAATATTGGAAGTTTAACATCACTGCAATTATCGCCACAGAATGATAAACAAAGGCGACACACTGAATGGAACTTCGGCGGCAAATTACACATATTTAGAAACCAAAATAGAGAAACGTAATCACGACGAAAGAAAACATTTAGAAATAAATCTTTTAACTAATATAAAAATTAAAGTCTTGATGAAAATATAACTCAGCATGCGATGGTGTAGAATACATCACATCGCGATTGTCAACCAAACGTACGATCAAGCTACACACACACAGAAACACCCCATTGTTTACGGTACACTGATTAATGCGCGTGTATGCGCATGCTTGTGGCGCTAGTGTTCATTTAGTTGACGTACTGATAAAATGATAACATTGTCAAATGATTTCTGCTATCAGTAATATAAATATTAAGATTTTTACATGTATGCAGTGTCCACATTCTGCATGAAATAACAATTTAAACTTTTGGTATGTCCTTTAAAAAACAGAACTGTCTTATTAATGTCGTAAACCTCTTTTTCATATCAAATTTTTCGCTGACATACAATGCAGAACCCAGAAAGTGGTCATAAATTGGAGATATCGTAAATTATAACAATTTTAGAGAGATTCTAAGGGAAAATGAAAGTTAACATTATTTTCTATAAACAAGACTATTTGCTTAGTGTGTTCTGGCTGTATTGTAGTTTAGCTGTGTTTGGTAAAGATGCGACTTCACATTGAAGATACGATATTTTGTGTTTGCGATATCCCAGCACTCATTGGAGCTTATATCAAGTGCTTTAAAATTTAAAATATTGAGGAAATAAACTTAATAAAATTTGAATAAATTTAAGGTATTACAATGATGATTGACGAAATGTAAATTATACACATCTTACTTATCTTTGATTTTAGAAGTAACAAAATGTCAAGTGTCAAGCTATGTGTCACAGTCATATGTTGTCACTTATGTCAGATTCCGATTCTGTTTTCCAAACAATAGATGTTGACGATGAATATTATTGTTGCGTTTTAATTTTATAGGAGGAATACTGTATTACTATGTGATATGCTATTTATGTGATAATTTTTAAGCATATTGTGCTGTTTAATTATACAAAATGATTAATGATAGTGGACCGACTCATGTTGAAGAAACTGTAAGTGAAACCACATCTGACACGGCACAATTGATAAGCAATGAAGCAAGCAGTTCTAACTATGCACAGCTAAATAGATCAGTTACGTTACAGGTATTTTTATGAACCTACTATTACACTATATTTAAAACAAATTAACCCAAACATTTGACCTGACACTTAACATTTCATTTTTTTTTCATAAAATAATAGTGTTTATCGTTATAATTCTTTGTCTAAATGTCTGAATTAAACCATTGAATATATTTGAGATTTTTATTGTCCAGAAATAATCTACAACATGTTTCTTGAAAATAATTATATTACTTTACTTAGAATTCAGATGATGATGAATTAAATGGTAGCCATGGAGTAAGGAGAAGACACCCAGTTCAAAAAATTGAACCTGGTTCTATGAATATACTCTCCGCTAAATATGAGGTAAGCATTGGTTAAAAACATTTTTCCTTTTATTAAATTTATATGATTAAAATATTAACAAGCATTTATCCTGCCTATCAATCCAAATATAACACATAACTTTGTAATATTATCTATCCTTATTTTACAATATCACATTCCATATCGCACAATTTGCAACAAATAATTTTTTTTAATAAGTATCCTGGATGTGGATAGCACAGGACTGATCATCATGGCGATCTTTGGAAGAGGCCTATGCCCAGCAGTCTCATGGCTGAAAAAGCCATGTTTAGGATTTGATATAGAAACAAAGACAATATGCACTGAATAATTCTCCAATGTTACAGAGCTTGGATTATGACACATGTGAGAACCATTTACTCCTTGATGAGGAACGTAAAAGAGGCTACCCATTTATTGTATGGAAGGACATTGCTCGGTGGTTTGTCATCCTACAGATTGGAGTAGTGACAGCGCTCATAGCTTTTATAATTGATATATGCATAGAAGAATTCTCAAGAATAAAATATAAGCAACTTAAAAAATGTATCCTTTTACAAGTTTGACACAGTGCTGAAACTAGACCTATATATAGATCAAGTCAGATTCTTGTTACTATGACAAGATTCTTGGATACTGCATCATCTTACTAATATTATAAATGTGAATGTTTAGATGGATAGATGGATCTCTGTTTGAAGATATCTCCAAAATTTTCCTAGGTTTATTACAAATGGGCAGTATTCATAAACAGTTGGTGACATATATAGAGAAAATTGTATATAACCAATTCCTTAATATACATACAGCTGTTGACATATATGTATTGGAAGATAAATTATATATACCATACCTGTTGTGGGTGTTATCAAATATATGTATAGTATTTTTTGGGTCTGTATTAGTCTCATATGTTGAGGTAAGATAATGTTATGTAATTTATTAAGTATTAGATAAATTTCTTCATAACCCAATTACACATTATAATAATACAACAGGACACAAATCAGTTGTTGCTGCAACATAACAGTTATTAATGTTAGGTCATCTAAGTTTAGGGTATGTTTTCATAATATAATTGCCAGTCAATGTAGGTTAATGAATACTTAGCAGTTCCTTAGATTTCTCTTACTAAATCCGTAAAGAACACTCTATAGCTATACTATCTATACTTAAGTATGACAATTAGCAGTCTATTGTACATTTGAATCACAACTGCAGTCGGTCCAAATTTACAATTTTGTTCAACCAATCGTTGAACGTTAAATCTGATTTAGAATCTATTAATATTGTTAATATTCAATAAAAGTATTAAAACGGAAATTTAGCGATATTATTACGTCATCCATGTTATCTCATTTCCAGTTTAGGTACCTAACATATTCAATTCCTTTTATCACTTTGTCCTCATTATGTTTCATTGGTTTTGCTTTAAAATATTAAATTAAAAAGGAAGATATTTAAAGATTACCTGTAAAAGAGAATCAAAGGCAAAGTAAATTAAATATATTTATTAGGCTACCTTAAACAAATTACCTTAAAAATTATATTCCAATGTAAATGTCATGTTCAAAGGCCAGCAATGCGTTCTGTAGTGTCTCTGGTATGAAAAATGTTCATGAATGTCGTTGAACACATGTTCCAGCTGCTCGTTTGCCCCATTATCTTATTTAAAAAAAAAAACAATATTTAATAGTAAAGTAGTGGTCCCATTAAGTACTTTAAGTATTTACCTTTCAAGAACCTGGTTTAATCTTATGTGTGTACAGCCAGTAGCAGCAGGCAGTGGCATACCGCAAGTGAAATGTTATTTGAACGGTGTCAAAGTACCGAGAGTGGTGCGCATCAAGACACTGGTGGTGAAGGCGGTTGGTGTCATTACTGCTGTGGTTGGAGGATTGGCTGGTGGAAAGGTATAATTGCTGCTTCTTACTTTGTCTCTATTGAATGCTTATTTTAAATTAAGTAGATTTTATTAAATCACTTTATGGTACTTTGGTGTTCCCCTAAATAGTTCCCCCTAGCTTTAGAAAAATTTTAGAGGTGTCTGTTTAATACATTCCATTCTAAACCTTTTTTTGGCATAAAAAGGAACTCACTACACGAAGATGTCCACATGACCTTGAAGATCTTTATATTTTTATTATATGATAATAAATTATTTTATAAAAAAATGTTTAACGTTTTAGGAAGGTCCTATGATCCACAGTGGGTCGGTAGTGGCGGCGGGTATATCGCAAGGAAAGAGCACGACATTCAACAAAGATTTTAAAATATTTCATTACTTCCGCGAGGATCACGAGAAGCGAGATTTTGTGTCGGCAGGCGCGGCGGCCGGTGTGTCCGCGGCTTTTGGGGCACCAATTGGTATAATTTATATTTAGAAAGTTTAATTGCAAAGTAATAAATCATGTTTATGACACAAATATTAACTTAGTTTAGCCAAGTATAATAGCTTTTTAATATTCCGGAATAGATCACACCAACTTGGTAAAACAATATTGCAACATTTTCTTCATATACGTATATTATTACTAGCTATCGCCTGTGACTCCGTCCGCGCGGTAAAACAAAAACTTAATAAGTATCATATTTGTTCTTTCAGACTATGTTCTACATGTGTGCCAAATTTCATCAAAATCTGTTCAGACGTTTCGGAGATACAATCGAATAAACAACCATCCATCCATCTATCTAAACATTCGCATTTATAATATTAGTAAGATTATAATATCTTATTTGCATTGTTTCTTTTGCTTTAAACCAGATTATTTATGTGTCTGTCTTCTTTAAGGTGGTGTACTGTTCTCATTAGAGGAAGGAACCAGTTTTTGGAATCAGGCATTAACATGGAGGACATTTTTTGGGACTGTTGTTTCAACATTTACTTTGAATTTTGCTCTATCTGCTTATCATGGACATCCAGGGGAATTGAGTTACCCAGGTATATATTTTTGACCTTCAAATAAAACTGTCATCATTCCTATGATTTTATTCTAAGGTTATTTACCTCTCATATCGTTCTTCAGGTCTATTAAACTTGGGTAAAATGGAACCGTTTCCATTTCAATTCTATGAACTGCCCGTGTTCATGTTATTTGGTGCGGTTGGCGGTATATTGGGTGCGCTATGGAACTACATTAATTACAGGCTGGCCGTTTTTAGAATAAGGTATATCATTAATTATATATATATTAGCTTTCGCCCGCGAATCTGTCTGCGCGGAATAAGAAACCTAATAAATAGCCAATGTTTTCGTCCAGGCTTTGTTCTACATCTATGCTAAATTTCAGCGAGATCCATGCAGATTTTAATTTGGTTAAAGATAAGGAGAAATTAATATTAAAAACTATTTTTGAAGTACTTAACTAATAAAAATGTCAGTAAATTGGTATGAACTGTAATATACTAATAATTATAACAATATGACGTTTGAAAGTGTGGGTACTTTAACAAAATTAAGTGAACAGGTATGTAAGTGCTCCGTGGCTACGCGTGGTGGAGGCGTGTCTTGTGGCGGCAGCGAGCGCAACATGTGGTTTCCTCATGATGTTCCTGCTTGACGACTGTCGTCCACTCGGCGAAGACCCCACCAAGAATCCGCTGCAGGTAGCCGCAAAAAAAAACAACACGAATATTAATCATATTTGTAATTAACTTAAGATTGCTTACGATGTGTAGTTTTTTAATATTACCCTACTTTGATATGTCACCAATATGGTTAACATATTTAAATAGGTTTTACCACTTTACAATCTACCCTCATTAATGCTTTTAATAACTGAACAAAACACATTTTTTCAATTATATATCTCTGTATTTTTATTTATTTAATACTGCGAACGAAATGATAAATTTAATATTATTGCAGTTATTCTGTGCGGACGGTGAATACAACGCAATGGCAGCGATCTGGTTCCAAACGCCTGAAGAATCTGTCCGTTCGTTCTTACACGATCCTATCGGTTCCTACAAGCCGTGGTCCTTGCTGGTCTTCATTATCTGCTACTTCTTGTTGTCGACGTGGACTTTCGGGTTGGCTGTGTCTAGTGGCTTGTTCATTCCGAACTTGCTGACTGGCGCCGCATGGGGAAGATTGCTCGCAATTTTGATACAATATATGCTTCCTTCTAATGTAAGTGTGTACGAGTGACTAAACGATTTATATAGAAGACTAGCTGTCGCCCGCGGCTCCGTCCGCGCGGCATAAAAAAAAGTAGACTATGTTCTTGCAGTCTATCTTCTACATCCATGCCAAATATTCGCAGGATCCGTTGAGCCGTTTTAGAGATACCTTCAAATGAACCTTAAAATTCATCCATCCATCTAAACATTCGCATTTCTAATATTAGTATTATAACTACCAAAAATTTTCAATAAAATACAATCTCATTATAAAAGTTAGTCAAAAGGCCATCGAAAATATATAAGGATGGGAAATAATTTGGTATTTTAGAATTTCTGGTTCTTTTAACGCCTGATAAACAATAATTTCCTTTGGTTTCATGTTTGGTATAGAGTATAAATCCAGCGAAGTATGCGCTTGTGGGCGCTGCGGCTCAGCTGGGCGGTGTCGTGCGCATGACCATATCTCTTACAGTCATCATCATTGAGACCACTGGTCAGATCTCCAACGCGCTGCCAATCATTGTTACTCTAGTCGTCGCCAAGTGGACAGGCGATTTCTTCAACGAGGTATGGAATTGGAATATACCGATTATAATGAATTCGGTTATCAAAGTACTGTTTTCATTTACACTTCGCTTTTTTACTTTTTAGGGTTCCGTACCTCGAAAGGAAAAAAACGGAACCCTTATAGGATCACTTGATCGTCCGTCCGTGTGTCTGTCAAGACCCTTTTTATTAATTCAACGCCATGTCTATAATTTTGTAATCCCGTATTTCAATAGACGTTCCAAAGTTATGTAAATATAACAATTCTTTTTTACTTATTTTGATAATAAGACATTTAATCCGTTCAAAAACAAGCAACACTAACAATGCAAAGAAAAACATTAAAAATACCAACATTTAAACTTTATTATTTAACATTTTTTAATCCCAATCGAATTCAAGGAAATATTGTGATATAAAAATTCTGTCCTTAGGGTATCTATGACATCCACATCCAGTTAGCAGGGGTTCCCCTGCTGGGCTGGGAGCCGCCACCTCTCACACACACGGTGTACGCATCCGAGGTGATGTCTCACCCTGTATTCACACTACGCACTGTTGAGAGCGTCGGACACGTGCTCGAGCTGCTGCGACTTGTGTCTTACAATGGCTTCCCAGTTGTTGATCCACCGCTATCAGATCATGTGAGGATAACATTTGTTTACATTACACCAGTAGGGTAACACGGGGCGATCGCCCAGGGCGCACCGTAAGATACCATCTTTGGAAGATTTCCCCCAGCACTAAGAAAATGGGGCAACGCGAAAATCTCGGCCCAGGGCGCCGAAAACGCTAAAACCGTTGGTGAATTACACTAAGATAACTTATAGCAACCAAAGTCAAACTGAATTTTGTAGCATAAAACTAAAATCCTTTGCTTTCTTCCCCATCTCGAATGAGGACTACATATTGTTTGTTTGTGTGTTTGTTAGTAATTAAAAAAATATCAACACTCCACAATAAGAATTGTTCTATGTTTAAATTTTTAAAATAAATTTATGACACAGGCGGAGGTGACAACATACAAACGTCTCAGAGGATTAATACTCAGATCGCAGTTGATAGTGCTGCTCCAGAATAAGATATACAATGAGAACGCAAACACAACATGGTCCAACTTAAATGTTGATATGAACATGTTCCGGAAGGAATATCCACGTTATCCATCAATTGATGAGGTTATTTTATTAATATTTTTTTAATTTTTATTGTAGTTTGAATAACTTTGTTGCCAGAAACCTATATTATTGAGCAATGTCTACTTTTATTTATTGATTTTATGGTTATTTTTTTACAGCTACAAATAGAAGAATGGGAGAAATCATGCTCAATTGATTTAAGGCCTTTTATGAATCCTTCTCCGTACACATTGCCACATCGTGCCTCTTTACCGAGATTGTTCAAACTATTCCGAGCTCTAGGGCTGAGGCATCTTCCTATAGTCAATGATGTAAATGAAGTATGTTACATTTTATTATATTAACATATGAAGTTAATACTTTGTATCCCTTTTAAATTGAATTAATTATTTTAAATTGGTCAATTGACTAATGGGTGCAACTAAAATGGATTTGACTAAAGTTCCCATAAGTGAAGTTTGCAAATATATAAATCAGTGTTAATTTAATTTTAATATTTCAGGTTGTAGGTATGGTAACACGCAAGGACATTGCCCGTTATAGAGTTTGGAGACACAGAGGTCATATGGGCATGGAAGAATTGCTGTTATCTAGTGAAATTTAAATTAAGACAAATTTTATATTAAGTTATTGATATTATTTATGCCAAATAGAGGACTTATTGTATAAATAAAACTTTAACAGAAATTTATCTTTTTTAAAAAGATATTGTTTTATTTAAATATTACTCTCGGTTTCCTGTTCCATAACAAATAAATGTATGTAATAACAAGCTTTTTATGGAATTTTATATATATAAAGATGCACCATCTTTTCAAATCTTATAAACGATTACATATTAAGGTTATATATAATGTCCTATTATAAATTATATATCTCAACAGGTTTATTAAACAAAACTTTGACATTTCCGTTTTTATCTAAAACAGGAGTTCATGAGGACATACTGTTGAGGAAACTTCTCTGTTTCTTCTGCTTAAAATCTAGGCACATCCTTAAATAATATGTTTTCAGGTATTTCTTAACACATGCACCTATGTCATCACGTAAATAATTTCTTTCTAAAATCGTAGATTCTTCTCTTACGTGCATCGGCATCAAAAGCGAAATCCTTAGTTGTTTACAAATAATTCCCATCCTATTCCGGCCCATAAATTAATAAACAGAAGTACTGGCAATATGACCAATATTAACAGCAAATAATTAACAAGTTCATCCATTTAGGTGTGATGGTATTTAACTTTGTTGGAAGCTTTACATTCAAAGAATGTTCATTTATTATTTGAATGATAATGATAGTTTGTTTATATTTCTGACATACGTCATTAGTGATTCACACTTTGACAGAATGACATAATGTTATAGACAAAAAATTCTTGTTACGGCTACGTTTTATTTTACAAAATATTTAATTATTTTATTATTTTAATAAAACTAATTAATTAAACTACCAAAATAATACTATAAACTATATACTAAAACTAAACCAAACTAAAAATAAAACTAAATAATATAAAAAATCGACCCCAAATCGCTGCGGTCGCACGGTAGGGTTCCCAAGAGGCTGGCGGCATTTCCCCGTTGGATGGCCAGGCTCAACCTTTGGCCGAAATGCGCGCCAGCCCTTGGATCCCCTGAGGCGTCGATGAGGCGTGCGGAAATCTCCTTAAACAGGCGACGGGCTTCCGCACCCCAAGGCCCCAAGGTCTCCACGGCAAAAGGCGCAAATATATACGGATCTGCCAACGCCGCATATTTACGCCTTTTATTGATTTCGGCTGTCGCCGCAGCTGCGCCGGCTTTACGAGCGGTCGCTCTCACGTGGGATGGAGCAACAGTGTCCACGCATGTGGCATCCCACACGAGTGACCGCCCGTTTTTCCGTTTTTTTTTAATTATTATAATTGAAAAATTATTTTAAAGATTTTTATTTGTATTTTATTTTCTGCTGTATGCTGCTTCATAACAATGTTTGTCGTGATGGTCCCATAAAGATCCGGTCCGGCGAGAGTAGCGCTGTTATCGTGGTTACGCCAGATGTAATGCTTTCAAGACAACAGAAAAGGAAATTTTAACGGTTGAGGGATGAGGGTTGCAAAACTGTGCCCAATAGATGGATGGATGTTTGTTAAAAGGTATTTCAGGGGCAGCTCAACGGATTTCGATCAAATTTGGCATGGATGTAGAACATCGTCTGGAAGAACACATAAATCAGCTACTCAATAGATTTATTCTCAGTGTTGCTGCTAGGTATGTCATACTACTAGGCAATGATTTAAACATGATTTTTTAAAGATATTTATTGTATGTCAACATGAATTTAATAAACGTATTACATAATGCAAACAAACTTATCTACAAATTAATTAATGAAATATATTAGATCTAACATTTATAGTCTTACAACAATAATTAATTAAATTAAAAAGTTATAAATTGTATGTCTTTATCAAGCAATCGATAGCTTGCTGGGAATCTTCGAAGTATTGTGGGGCCTCCATTCTTGTGATACCGTAGTCAGGTTCTAATGCGGGTAATACGATTTTTGACCTGCCAGTGCAATTTGAGTTAGCTACGCTGTGGTTCAAACTGTCTCCATGATGATTATAAATTCGCGGCATCGTTTTGAACGGCTGTGGTGTATGGAAGCGATGTTTTGAATTGTTTGTCATTCTTTTCATTCTGTCAACATTACTCTTTATTGTCATCAGTGTTTTATGATTTTCGGGTATGTGAAGAAATTCTGATAGATCCTGAAACAACAATAAAATTTTACTTATCTATTTCACTGAAAACATGATCAAAGAAAGCTGAAACTTATGACGTAAAAATAAAATACCTGTTTTATGGCTTCGTATTTCGAAAATATCCATAAGTATGTTGAAAATATACAAAACAGCTTAGTTTCGCTGCTACTGAATCGCAACATGAATTTTAATATCGGCGGAATGCGATCTCTCTGTAAAAATTACGCAAAAAAATTACAAGTATCCTCTTGTAACAATCAACATTTAAAATTGACAAAACTGAACTATTATTTCGCAATAGTCACATTAATTATCTTACTTTGTATATTTTCGGTCCAGTGACTTTGTATCTAGCTAAATTGACGAGCACAGCAGCTGCATATTTCAGTACTTCGATACTGGAGATGGATCGATTCATGAAAGCCATGTACACATATACATGACCTACTACCGAAGATGCGTTCTTGTGGTACATCATTGGATAAACTTCTGTTAACAATTCTGAAAAATTATGTCAAAATTAATTTATATCATGATTTTAATTTTCCTATTCAAAATTCTAAGTAAACTTACCCAGTGACCTAAAAGTTCGAATGATAGATTCGATGTCGGACATGTTGCGGAGGAGCTCCATGGCCTCCTCATTGCGTTCCTTGAGCGACTCCTGTTTGGACTCGAGCGCACCACCGCGCCATCTGGTGCGAAGCTCCTCAACCTGCGAGTCTTTGTTAGTCACGCGGACACGATGGCCGCGGAAAAGGGCCTAAAACAATAAACGAATTTAAATAACTGTAAAAAACTTCAGTATAGTTTTAATGAATGATAAATTTAATTAAAATGTACTACACACCTGAATTTTAGAAGCAGCCCAGTTTCGCCTTTGTTCCTCTTTCTGTTTAATCAACATTTCTTTTTCAACTTCAAACCTCTTTCGTGCTAAAAATCCTCGTATTACAGCCTGTATTTTGATCGCCGATTGTCGTTTCTTCAAAAACTCAGAACGTATCGATCTTGTTATTTGCTTTCCTTTCCATAATTCTTGAATTAATTTAATATATTTAATGACATTGTTGTAACGTTTTTTCGCAAGATGGCATCTTATATTCTTTTGCAAGCATATCGCAGCGGCTACCTTTCGTTGTTTAAGGAGTTCCTTTTGCTTCTTGTATCTATATAGGACTTGAAGGAATCGAACAGCCGATCGGAATGTTAAGAAACGTCTTCGTTGTATATAACATCTCACATGAGCTTGAATTGTTATAATATTTTGTCTAATTTGTAAGTATTGTTGTCGTTGTAACGTTGTTAGTTTATACAATCTATAACGTTGTTGTATTGTAATTGTAGCTTGTTTTATTTCCAAATATCGCTTACGTTGGATGTGCATGAGGATGACGGATTGTACTATTTTTACTTTCTTTCTGTAGTCTAAATATTCAGTATAGCATTGATGTACAATTTCTCTACTTTTCTTGCAAGATCGGTACCAATTTTGAATTTTTACAGCTGATTCTTTTTGTTTTAAATATGCCTGTCTATCCTGTTTACCTTTAATGTACGCCCTTAAAGCAGCTTGAATTGTAACACAAGACAACCTTAATTTGACATATTTGGATTTTTCTTTACGCATTTGACAATTAGCTCTGTATCGTGTTTGTATTATAATTATTGCTTTTTGCAATTTGCTGTATTCATTTTTACAAACTCTCATCAACATAAGAGCACGATAACGTCTTTGTAAAATTACAGTTGCTTTCCTGAGCTGTTCGTAATTTTCTCTTTGGCGATACATTTCCAAAAGACTTCTATACCACGTCTGTATTTTGATAACAGATCTTCGTAACTCTAAATATTGAGTTCTTTCTTTCTTAGCAATCTGGTACAAACGGAAGTATCTTTGTATTTTTGTTGCGGAATTACGTTGCATAATATAATTATTTCGTTCCTTTTTCATTGCTAAATGTGCTCGAATATGTCTTTGAATAATTACACAAGATGTCTTCAATTTTGTATACAGTGATCTCTCTATACGCATTTGTATTTTAGCTCTGTAGTATATTTGTATAACATTTGTTGCTTTAAGTAATTTGTTGTATTCATTTTTACAAATTCTCATCAACAAAACAGCTCGATAGCGTCTTTGCAAAGTAATAGTTGCATTTTTCAGTTGTTCAAATTCCTTTTTTTGTTCGCGCATTTGCATAATACTTCTATACCAAATTTGTATTTTAATAACAGAATTTCGTAAATGCATATATTTCATTTTCATTGTCTTTGTAATTTGGTATGAACGGAAATATTTTTGAATTGTAATAGCAGAATTTCTTTGTAATATATAAGCCGTCCTTTCTTTCTTCATTGTTAAATATGCTCGAATTTGTGTTTGAATGATTATACATGATGTTTTAATTCTAAGATACTCCGATCGTTCTTCACGCATTTGCCTCTTAGCTCTGTATCTTTTTTGTAAAACAATTGTTGCGTGTTGTAATTTTTCATAGTCCTTTTTACAAACTCTCATCAGCATTAGAGCACGATAACGTCTTTGTAAAATTATAGCTGCATGCTTGAGCTGTTCAAATTCTTTTCTGTCATGTCGCATTTTTATGATACTTCTGTACCATGCCTGTATTTTTATAACCGAATTTCGTAAATTTACATAATTTGTTCTTGCTTTTTTAGCTCTGTATTGTGTTTGTAAAGCAATTGTTGCGTTTCGTAATATTACAAAGTCGTTTTTACAAACTCTCATTGTAGTAAGAGCTCGATAACGTCTTTGTAAAATTAAAGCTGCATTCTTAATTTGTGTAAATTGGTTTCTACAGCGGCGTGTTGCCAAGACACTTCTATACCACATTTGTATTTTAATCACTGAATTGCGTAACTGTATGTAGTTAATTTTTTCTTTTTTCGCGATCTGATACAAACGGAAATATTGTTGTATTTTTACAATGGAATTACGTTGCAAGATATAAGCCGCTCGTTCCTTCTTCATAGCTAAATATGCTCGAATGTGTTTTTGTAAAGCAAGACAAGAGGTTCTAATTTTGTGATACTTCAATTGTTCCTCACGCATTTGTATGTTGGCTCTGTACCGTGTTTGTAAAACAAAAGTAGCTTTTTGTAATTTTACAAAGTCATTTTTACAAACTCTCATCAATATAAGAGCTCGATAACGTCTTTGTAAAATTATAGCTGCATTCCTGAGATGCTGATATTCTTTTCTTTGTTGTTGCATTTTCATAACACTTCTGTACCAAAACTGTATTTTAATAACCGATTGTCGTATACGTAAATATTTTGTTCTCATTTCTTTTGCAATACGGTATGAAAGGTAATATTTTTGAATTTTAATAGCAGAAATTCGTTGCAAGATATATGCGGATCTCTCTTTCTTCATTTTTAAATATGCCCTAAAGTGCTTTTGAATTGTGCTCACAGCAGTTTTGATTTTCAAATACGTTTCTCTATCTCTCAACATTTGTTGTCTTGCCTTTACCCTTCTTTGTAAATTTATAACTAAACTTCTACAATAAATGTATTCTGAACGACATTTTTTCGCTCTGAATACAGATTGGACCCTCACGGCTGTCTGTTTTAAAATCAAATAGTCGTGTCTTGCTTCTCTCATTTTTAGTAGTGCAATATAACGATTTTCTATTATAGCCACTGATTTTTTGTAAGCTAAAAATTGTCGTCGTTGTTTTACCATTTTATAATAACTTTGAACTATAATAATACTTTTTATTTTTACAGCTAACAAACGCATCTGTTCTCTCATTAGCAACTTTCCTTTATACTTGTCTTGAATATAAGAAACAGATTTCTTCAAACGCAAAAATTGTTTCCTTTCAATAAAGCAACGGATTGTGCTTTGTATTAATACTATTTTTTGCACTGTCTTTTGATAACGTTTTCTGCAAATCCAACCTTTTACATATGCTTGTATTTTTCTCGCCGCTTCATATCTTTTTTCTGCTTGTATCATTTGAAGAGCTTTTAAAATTTCTCTTGCTTGCCTTATCTTTTTAATACCGTAATACCATTCTTCTATTATTTGTATACTTCTTTTCATTTTCTGATATCGACTACGATATAACCATCTACGGAAATATTTCTGTATTATGATTGTTGCGTGTGTCAGTTGTTGCATTTTCAACTCGACCATGCGGTTGTATTGGATTCTGCGCCACCATATTTGGATCACACTCGCCGCGTTATTTAATTTATCGCGTAACTCTTGTTCCTTCTTCTTTCGTTCCAGCACAACGGCGTACTTCTTTCTCCACCAAGTCTGTATGATATTTGCCGCTTTCATGAACAATGGAGCACGGAACACGTGTATCAGCTGCCACAGTAACGATAGTGTTTTCTCTCTGTGCCCATCGGCAATATCTGTAGCCTTAATATCTCCAACAATTACAAAATTAGCTTCTTTCAATGCGTTCAGAGCTACTTGGACGTTGTGTATTTTTTGCAAGCGCGATATCGGAGGAGTTCGTAACTGATTTAATAAGCCATTTTTTATAAGTATTACTTCCATGACTTTAGTTAATCTCACTCCGTCACGAATATCCAAAGCGATGTTGTGAACAGCGTATTTATATTCATCTAAGTAGGATTGTTTATGACACACAACGTAACCGAGAGGCCGTAAATGTTTTGTGATATCACCAATACCAGCAATCAGCTCCCTCGTGAAACGGATTAAGATTTCTCTACTATCTTTGCACACAGCGTTTCTACGGAATAGACAAGGATCGTGCGGGATTAATTTTTTCTGCTTAGCTTGATCAAGGAAGAACACCAACATGAAGAATTTCTTGAGTGTAAACTTTTTAATAGCTTCCATGTATGCAGGCAAAAGCATGTTTGGAGCGCTCGATTTTGAATGTTTATTTTTAAGAAGTGGATTTTTGAACATTCTCTGAATAATAAAAGTGGTCAGGCCTTCAATGTCATTATTTGATTTCAGCTGTATCACGAATCCGTAAATAGCTTCCAGACCGATTCGAAGCCACAACGGATTGTAAGATAATATCAATTCCATGATTATTTTCTGTAGTCCTACATCTAAATGGAGATTGCGGTCGTTTCTGATAGCTATTAACTTTTTATCGATTTGTAAATTTAATTTCACAAACACTTGGGATATTTCTGGACTCAACAATAATGTTCGTGCGGATCGTCGTAGACTTATCAATCTGTGACTATTGTGATAGGTGCTGCTGACTTGTTCTTTTGTTGGAGCGACGGGGATTTCTTTGTTTCTATTTTCAATCCATGCTTTGCCGAAATCAATTTTTTGCTCAACATTACTATCGAGATCTGCCGGCGGAGTCAAAATATAGTTTAACCATCTTTTAAACTCTTGTTCGATCTTTTCTACGGCTTCCACGTCATAGAAGTAAGTGGAGGACGAAAATGGATCAACTGTGAAGGATTGAGAGTAAACGTTTCCGACCTGATTTAAGGAAATATTTTGATTTATACTTTTATTCGCCTCTGATCGTGTATTTGATAGTTTACTTGATGTTCTGCTTTCATCGATATCAGTTTTAATTTTCGTTTTTGCAGCTTTTTTGACTATGGGAATTGGAACTTTCCATAATTCTGGTTCACAATGGACAGATTTTTTGGACCATGTTTGTTTCGAAAGCCCTGATACGCCGCTTTTATCGAAAGTACGGTTAATGGTAAATGTTGTCATCTGATTATCTGTTTTATTAAATGACTGCGAATGGAAAGCTATACCACTCTCTTCTGGTATCGATTGCAGAGGAGGAGTAAGAGATCGTGGTGGAGATCTGTCTAATCTCAAATCACTGTATCTATTTTGTTCAAAAAAGTTTCCATTCCTCCTATCATAACTTTCTCTAAACTGATTCTCTTTAAACAAAGCTTGTCTGCATAATTTCGGGTCTCTAATACTGAAAGGCTCATATCTCGGTTCGGAATTCATTTGTGGATATTCCAAGAATGTATTTGGAGATTCCTTTGTATATGTATCAGAATTAAGCCTCATGTTTTGGTTTGTATCGTTGATTAATTCTTGGGTTTCGTTATTAATTTTTGGTAGTACTTTTCTTTCAGTTGAAAATCTCTGAGGGAAAAAGGACAAGTCGCTGATGCGTGAGATTTCAGTGTTTATAGAAAAATTTAGACTTGTTATTTCTTTAGGCGACGACGTATTTGGTATTTTCTTACTCTTCGTCGGCGATTCTAATTCTTCGTTCTCGTGTGCTGATTGGTCTACAGTTAGCCATTTGTTTGTTGGCTGAGTTGATGTCATACATATTATTGATCGAGTGTCATTTTCTTTGTCAGGATATTTAATGTCAAGACTGTCATTGAATTCACTATCAGAATTAACACTTAGTATTATTTTAGGACCTTTATCTAACGTAACATTTTTGGATTGCATTGTTTTTAAGGGTGTAAAAGTAAAGTTATCAAAGATATCTGTTGCAAATGTTTTAAGGTCTTGTCTGTTTGATGGTTTTAAAATATTTCTTTGCATTGGGGAGTCAAACTCGTTGCCGTACTGAGAATCATATAATTTAGTGTTGTTTGCTAGGTTTTCTTTACGAGGCTTACGTGCATTACCGAATATTTCCGTTAAGTCAAATTTTAAATCACTGTCCGGGGAAAATTCTAACGGGCACCTGCTGACGTATGGGTCATTACAATTTTCGTCATTTGAAATATTTTCCTTGTCACATATTTCATAAGTCCGATGTTGAATCGATTGTACCACATTAACTGTGGTGTCCACTTTTCTTTGTGTTTTGTAAATAGCTTCAACTCTCTTCTTAGTTACAAACACTGGAGATTTTTTTACAGCTTTCTTTTTTATCTTACCTGGCGATATTTTCGATGTTTTTGTTGAACCCTTCCCTTTAATGTTCTGAAAGAAAATAAAATGGATCTTTAATTATATTGTATATACTCACACATACACACATACATTTCAAATTAGTGCTTAATACAAATAAATACATAAATTAGTTCACATTAAAAGATAATCAGTAAAAATTCTTTATAAATACTGTTCATTGATAAGAAATTTAATAAAAAAAGCCAGGATCCTACCAGCTTTGATAATTAAAAAAATATATATATTAACTATCATAACTGCATATATGCACTGCTATATCTATTATTGCACAAAAGCACAACATTTATATCTATTTGCTACATTATTTACAAGCACTATTTTAAGCATGCTGATGTCCATTGGCATCGATGAACACCTTAGTGTTCCTGTTGCATGTTTCCCCTTCTCATATAAAAACAGCAGTACTTAAAGATAAGTGTTCTCAAAAAATGAACAAAAACTCATAAAAGAACTTACCATAACAGACTTGAGTACCACAAGGACATCAAACCTGCCCCTGTTCTCATTAGTAAATCTAATGGTTTCCCTAAGAGCAGTGGGCTGCAATGGAGTCCACACCATAGTGAGACAGTAGCATGTCTCAGGTTCCAAGAACAAACCATCATCGGGCAAATCTATTATAAGGCCTTGTGGTAGAGAACGGCCAAGTATTAACTGCAAATTTAAACATTATATACAAAAATTAAAGATGATTGATATAGACCCAAGTCTAGTGGATTAGGCTGCAGAATACTGATCTGGCGGTAGTAGGTTCAAATCCTAACATTTGACTTTTACAATTATAAATGAATATAAAACACATAGCGGTAGCTCCAAGATTACATGAAATTCTTGATTTTTTTTTAAATAATCTATTAAAAAATTGGTTCTGGTGTAATCTGCACTGAAATATTGTTAATTATGGAAGGGTATCAGAGAATATTGAATCTGATTACTACTCTCCTTACATAAAACAAAATTAGTAGCACAATTCTGTTAGATGGTACTCAGTGGTGTAAGTAATAATTTCTGTAAAAATGTTTCCATTCAATGGAACATGTAGTTAGTTGTTCAGTTGAATGATAGTTATCATTCAATGGAAATTTAATTTACATGTAACTGAAAATGTACCTGTTGAATTTGTTTCAGTGGGTTGACTATTTCCAAACACCTCTCACAGGACGTCCCGATGAGGACATTTTCGAAAACCACTTGAGGGGGCCGAGAAAATGGAGCCAAAACTAGTCGGGGACATTCCTCTTTCGGCGGACTTTTTTTGATGTTTTCATTTTTCCTTGACTTTTTAATACGTTCTGGAGTATTATCAATCTATAAATTAGAAGAACACGGTATTATTGAAGATACTTCAATAAAGAAACATAACAATTTACATTTGAAGGCACTGAACTTACTTGAAAATACATATCTTCAAATTCCTTAAATATCTAATACACACCACAATAGTTTTTAGGGCACAATAGTGCTAATTTATAGTCACATAGTCTTTTTCAGTCGTCTAAAAGAATTCACAACAAAATCTATATAACAAAAGCGTACAGCATTTAAATTTTTAAACCAACTGACAAAACAGTTGTCCACGGCAGGACTGCCAACTAAACAGTATAAAAGATGCCAACCTCTAGAAATTGTACCACGATTTTTTGTTTATGTTCAATTTAATCAAATATTCTGTTAATACACCATTCGATTCGATTGCTTAAAACTTTCAAACAAAATAACTAGGTACTTATAATACAATATTTATTGCATTATTTGAGAAAAAAATGATAATCCAAAATTTTATTATTATTTTATAACGAACAAAGTTCTCCAGAATAGAATAATCGAAGTCAAATATAAAGTAACATATAGTATTGAAATATTTTTCTTAACTGTTTTATTAAAACACCTAGTACAGTTTCTACTTTACCTAATTTTTTTTTCATTTGCTTTCAACTAAAAATGTTTCAAGAGTATTTGCAGTCAATAGACAATGTCTTCCATGTAAAAGTAGCCTGACACTTGGCATTCTTCGACACATTTTGACAGCTTCTGACTGACCTGTCTAGGATCTGTCACTCAGTTCTGTGCCATTACTGTCATTAGAATTTTTCTTGGGGCCTCCCTGCTTAGAATTGTCCACATTTGCCATCTCTGAATCAAGAGCCAGTTAATCTTTTATAAGGTAGGTGATAAGTACAAGTTCTAAGCGTGTGAAGTAGTGGATGGACTCTTGAGATTATAAAGCGGGATTAATTTACAGGACCCTTATTGAGAAACATGGCCGAGACTCAGACGAACGATAATACTACTTGCGTAGTTTGTTTCAAGAATGTCTTCTATTACTCAATTGGGGAATGTGACCACCCCGTTTGTTTTGAGTGCTCTACTCGTATGCGAGTGCTTTGCTTGCAAAATGAGTGTCCAATTTGTCGTCAGGATCTATCAAGGGTAAGTAATTTTTATCATTAAAAATAATGAATTAAATTAATATTATGTCACAATGTTTCTATTTTATTGAAATACTCACAAATTAACAAATACAATTATTTAATTTTTATAGTGTTTGTATGAAAAGATTATTAAAAGAAGTAAAAATACAAAAATAATCTGCCACCATAGAGAGTCCTTCTTTATTCAATGATACATTTTTCACTCTTCTCGTCACGCAAGTACATTCTATGTTTTGCTAAATAGAGCTAATTTTGATGAAAGCAATTTAATATCAGCTTTAATTCAGACAAAGCAATCTTATTAGAAAATATGAAAGGACTAATACTGCAAATTTTATTAAAAATAAACAAGTTTAAATAATATAATGAAATTTTGGGTAGTGTAAAAAAAGCTTTGTATTTTTTTAGGTTGTCTTCACTGAAACAATTCAACCTTATAAAGAACTTCGTAATAAAGTGTTTAGTGATCGGCTATTTGAAAGGCAGTTCAAGATAGGATTCTGCACTGAAGAAATAAAGAAGGAATATGAGAAACTACTTGAACATCGTTGTAAGATATGTGAGAAAAATCCACCATTCCATACATTCACTATGCTGAGTGATCACATGCGGCGGGTCCATGAACGCTATTACTGTGACCTCTGCGTTAAACACTTGAAGGTAAGGTACAAATAAACTATATTTTGTCACTAGCAGTAGCCTACAACTTTGTCCAGACATAATTAAAAAAACTAGTAATAAACATAATATAGCTTTGAAACAGTGAAAGAATTTTTCAAATTAATTCAGTAGTTTCATAGTCTATTATATAAAAAATAACAATCAAATGTTTTCTCTTTATAATATTAGTAAAGATAAAAAGTTAATTTGCATAAACATTTTATTAGTATTTACAATGCAAATAAGCATAATTGTATGCTAAATTGATTTGTCATTTGTTCATGGTTTTTGGTCGTTTTAATTTCAAATTGCTTTATTAAATTGAAATAAAAAATGATTGAGAGGCCTCAATAATAATCATTTGGAGAAGGAAATATTTTATAGTAATTTATATAAGTTATGTACTACTGTGTTGGGTTTAATTATGTTTTTGTGTTCGTGATTCAACAGTTAAAACTGCTTTAAGATTTAACAATTTATTATTTTATTTGTAGATATTCACTAGCGAACGGAGATGCTATACACGTCAAGAGCTGGCTCACCATCGACGGAAAGGCGACATTGATGACACATCCCATAGGTAATATTAACCTGATGATAAAAAAACTAATAACAGGATTAATTTTGAATAGCAATTAACGTTATGTAAACAACTGATTTGAAATATCATCAGAGTGTACATTAAAATTAAACAGACAAAAAAATTGACGGGTTATCTACCAAATTGATAGAATAATTAGTCTCATTATTACAGTTTTTAGTTAAACAAAAATACTTAATAATAAAAAATAATTTATTTTACTAACAAGATATTATTAGCATAGTCTATTTGGTATCTACAATAAAAAAAAACTTTGGAATGTAACCTAGACTTTAAACAGACTCAGGATTGAAACATTCGGCTTACACCGTTGTAAGTAGTCAATAAAATTTTAAGATTATTTTCTAAATTTTAATAATCAGAAATTGATTATTGACATGTCCAGTAGATTACTTTAGTTCCTGAACAACTTAATGGCATTGCATCTTTGGTTATGTTTATTTAAATGTCGCCCACGACTCCATCTGAATGGAATAAAAAAAAACCTATGTTAGCCTATGTGTTCTTCCTGCTAAATCGAATTTAACCGTTCTGGAGGTACCTTCTTACATCCATCCATCTAAACTTTCGCCTTTGTAGCATTAGTAAGATCTTAAATAATATGAATTTATAGGGGCCACCCATTGTGCGAGTTCTGTGAGGAGCGCTTCATGGATGCTGACGAGTTATACCGTCACTTGCGCAAGGAGCATCTCTACTGCCACTTGTGTGATGCTGACGGCAAGAATCTGTACTACTCGTCGCACTCCGCACTCGCTCACCACTTCCGTACTGATCACTATCTTTGCGAGGAAGGGGATTGTGCCGGAGAACACTTAACTGCTGTCTTTAGAAGCGAAATTGATCTCAAAGGTAATAGTTTTTTGACTAATCAAACTTGACTTTTTTTTGGTGAATGTAAGCTGCAAGTGTATACAATAATTTACAGCTTTAGTAGGAGCCAAAGAAAATATTTTATTATTTGCTTTGTTTCCAAGGATAAAACTTGACATGATGAATGCTTTGGAAAGAGCTGTTTGCATCGCAAGAACTTAACTTATCTTGGCTCAAGGTTGCCTTTGTACTGCTTTGTGTTTTCATACCGAACCTGAAATTGTTTTCTCAACCTCAATGTCAGACTTTACCAATGAATAAAATATACAAGTTGTAGGATCAAAATATAATGTGTTTCAGCTCACAAGGCTACAGTGCATGGTAAGGGAATGCCCCGAGGAGCAGCGCGCCAGGCCAGAACGCTAGAGTTACAATTTAACATCACCCCACATTCAGTAGTGCAGCGGGCTCCTAGGTAAGTTTTCGATATTTATTTACATAGTGAGTTTACTATTCATACCATAAAGTTTGTCTTAAAACTTTTCTCTAAAATTGACTTTTAGTTAAAAAGCTTGTATTAATTGTAGGGAGAGGGCGGAGCCTCCGCCAGTAGCGAGCCCGCCGGCACCGGAACCTCGCACGCGCCCCGCACCGGATACACGCAGCAACGAGCAGTTCCCACAGCTCTCTACCGCATCGCCCGCTACCAACCTGATACTGGCGCCCTCGAGGGCTTACAAAGGTAATATAAGTTTTACAAACAAGGGCAAAAACTGCTAGGATCCTTCATAATGGTCACTCAATTCTTCTTTAAGGCCTTCAACGCATTTGTAGTTCCTCTGGTTTTGTGGATATCCATGAACGTCGGTGACTTCTTTCATTCCAAAAAATCTGGCTTCACAACTCTTGCATTTAAAATTAATTTAGAGGAACCTTTCAGGTGCTGAAGGTTTGACTCGCAACGACAAGAACTTCCCTGCGTTGGACGGTTCCGGCCCGTCCCGCAGCGCGCCGCCTCCCGCGCCTCGTCCTCAGGCCCCCGTTGCCGCTACTATACTTAGGAACTGTAAGTTTTTAAATTAACTCTTTTAATATACATTAATTTATTACAAAATAATTCACGACTTAGTGGCTAATAGTGTAATTTTATAATTTTATATGTTTATATGTCATATATTTCAGCAAAGCCGAGCGTGTCCATCCAAGTGCACAGCCAGCCGGCGAGCGCGAGCAACTTTCGTCTGACGCAGACAAGTACCAACCGCATCTCCATACCTGCCAAGAAGAAGCCAATGCCTCTCAGCGATGATGACTTTCCTTCTCTCGGCCCTGGCATGCCGAGGGACGACCATCCCAGCATCGGATCTGGCACCATACAACCGTCAAAGGTCATACAAAATATACATACAACAAAATATTTAAATGCATGAAAAAACAAGGAAAATTTATCTTGAAGTAAATTATTTACTTACCTATATCTATATATTTTACAGGTTGGGATGATTAACAGTGAAGAAATGCAGGCGTTTAAGAGCAAACCTACAAATCACCAGCCAAAGAAAACAAATCATAAAACTATGGAAGCTTTTCCTGCGCTAACAACTACCACTACTCCGTCGGCACCGCCGCAGTGGATTAATGTCTCCAAAGGAAACAACAAGCCGAAGGTCAGAGCCGAGCCAGCGCCGGCCCCAGCCAGAGCACCAGCTTTCAATCCAGTAGCAGACTTCCCAACACTGCCTGTTAATACAACAAAGTCTAAAGTTATTAAATCCCAGCCGCAACCAACGCCCGCAACAACAACTACTACAAAGATAATCACCACTGAAAATACAAAGTCCAAGAAGGAGAAGAAGAAACAAAACAACAATCCCAAGAAAGAAAATCTATTTGACACAAATCACTTTAATGGCTTATGCGAAAATAATAATACAGAAATGGCTTACATTACACCCAGTGTCAACAGCAACAATCAAAGCTCGGAGACGGATAGGAAAATTAAAACTATAACTGACACTCCTGCCGCGGCCAATAAGAATCGAAATAACTTCACACT